AGTTGCATATCCCAGGTTCGAATCCAAGCGCGACCCATTGGTGTTCCCAGAGGTATAAGGCTGTTTGAGACGAAGCTCCATTAATTGAATGCAGATGGGGAGCGGATTAAGTGCATAAACTTGTGGTCAATAACCCCATGCATAACTCAATCAGAATCTGCCACATCAGCGCCTCTTCTCTCTCTCTCTCTCTCTCTCTCATGGAAAGTCTTTAATTTTCCCCCTTATTCTTTAACGGACGATTTCTCACTCGTATTAAGTCGGAATTTAATTTTTTTGCGCAGTTAGATCAGATTAATTGTGCCCTTCAAAATGATATTCACTTTGATATATTTTGGAACAAAAAAATTCGAACCAGTTATTACCCGTCTATACCATATGATATTGACTAGTATTAAATAAGAGCATACCATATGGTATGAAAAATACCACCCCATACCAGGGTGGTATAGCATGGTATGGAGTTGATAACAAGAGGTATGAAATTTTTTCACCAAGAAATTTTAAATCCAATAGATCATGATTAAATCATTCCTTCTGTGCAAAAATTTTCGAAAACGATTAAAAAACGAAGGAGATACCATATGGTATGGAGTTGGTAACGAGACATATGCAATTTTTTTCTCAAAAAATATTCAAAATGGATCTCATTTTGTAGAGCACAATGAACTCGTTCCATCTGTGCAAAAAAATAAAAACAAATTGAAATCCGAGTTAGAAAGAAGAAGATATGATCCGATTAAGAAAAATAGGGAAACAAAATGTCTTTGATTTACAACCCTTAGAAGTTAGATCTGCAGCCACTTAAAAGAAGGGTCCGAATTTGGTTACTCATGTTAAGCACACTAAGGTTATGCACCCTATATTGAGCCATGCAGATAGCCCCCAAATTTAGTAGTCAAATTTAGTAGGACCTGCTGTCACAAATTGGCATGTGAAATTTTTTAACTAGGTAGGTACTATCATCAAGAACCTACTTATATGTATGGGAGGAAGATTTGGTTTCCTTTGGATTCTGATATTTCTTGGGCTTTGTAAAATAACAGTATAGGTGTCAAAACAGAACCCGACCCGTCTAACCCGCCTGATCAACCCAACCTGCAACCCGATCGCAACCCAAATTGACTAAAAGTCAACAACCCGTAATCCGCCCGATCTGCAACCCGATTTACCCGCAACCCGATTAAACCAAACCCGATTAATCCACAACCTGATTAACTCGAACCCGACTAACCCGCAACCCGACCGACTCAACCCGAACTTCACCTAATCTACTTGAATAATTATTATATTATATAATACATAGTTTTTCAAAATAACTTTTTCATTCTAAACTTAGGTAAAATTATTTCTTCATTTCATATAGGAAATTTAAAAATATGAAACTCACTTGATATTATGTATTTTAAAAAAATTACAAAAATTGAAACATGAAGGTAACTTGCACACTAAGTTCTTTAACATAATTAAAAAAAAAGAAAATATGAAATATAAAATCAACACATTGTGAATATTAATAATGAATCATTAATAATTGAGATCATGGACAATATTAATATAATATATAAATTAAAATTTTGGTTAATTTAATTATTCAATAAAGTTATCAATTAAAAATAAATAAAGTAAAGCAATGTATTTGATAATTTGATGCTTTTAAAAGAGTTGGAAAATTTTGGTGTATTCAACTTTTTGGGAAGAGAAAGAAGAGGGAAATTATGTTCTTTGAATTTTTTAGAAAAGAAAAGAGGGTATTTTGTTGGTTTTGATTTGTGGGAAGTGAAGAAGTGGAAAAGTTTGGTTCTTTTGATTATGAAAGAGAAACAATGAGGAAAATTTTGAGTTTTCAACTTTTTTTGAAAAGAAGGAAGGAAGAGGGAAATTTGGTTCTTCAAATGGAAGAGAAAGAGGAGGGAAATTTCAAATTTGATTCTTTCAATTTTTTGGAAGATAAAGATGAGGGAAAATTTCTAATTTACGGAAGGAGAAAGAAGGAGGAGAATTTTAGAATTTTAATTTATTTTTGAAAAAGAAAGAAGAAAACAAATTTGTTGTTCACCGCAATCATTTATTTTAGAAAAATTCACTTTATTTGTCTACTTGTTTTCTATGCTCTACATTTATTACAATTTCAACACTACATGATCGTTATTTGACAATATTTAGTAAATTTTTTGTACATTTAAGTTGTGTTCAAGTTGAACTTTCATTTCAAAATGGGTGTTAAAATTGGCTTGTTAAGTCTTACGATTGCAATAACTCATTCGAGTTGCGGGTTTGGAAATTTTGGTTAATCGGCTTGTGGGTCACTTTGGAATGGAAAATAAGAGGGAGGTTTGGATGGGAACTATGGAATGGAAAATTTATGGGCGGGTGAATATGAGCCAACAATTATACTAAACTTGATAAGTAATTTTTGACGGTTCGTTGTTTAGGGTATAAAGTATATGGTTAAGGTATAGGGTATAAGGTACATATGGTTAGGGTGTATATGGTTAGGGTATAAGGTATTGATGATTTTGACGGTTCTAAGTTTTTTATTAATATATGTTCACTTGAAGTCATTTAAAATATTTAACGGCAGGAGAACTTTTTTTAATTTATGTTTATGGTACGTGCTTAGGGTACAGGGTATATGGTTTAGAGTATATGATATATGGTTAGCGTATAGCAAATATCACTTTTTATCTATGTTTCGAAAATCAAAGTATGAATTTCACTTTAAATTAACTATACTAGCAAAATCACAACTCATATGGATATATGGTTAGGGTATAGGGTATGTTGTTAGTGTATAATATATTGATGGTTTAGGGTATACGATCAACAACATATATTAACTTAATATTGTCGATTAAGAGTAAGGCTAAGTGTATAGGATATATGTTATTGAGTAAGTTATGATTGAAGTCACAACGATTTTACTAAATTTGATAGTTAATCTTTAATGGTTCAATTTTTAGGGTAATTCGAACAATTTTACAAATAAATCGTTTGGCAATAGTTTACTGAAGCTATTAGGGCAATGAGTTATTTCGAAATAACTCCTTTTACCACTCTGCTTTTTCCAAATACCAGATTTGCATGGTTATTCTAAACGAGATACTATAATCTAATTACTACTGAATAATATTAAAATACCAAATAAATAATTAATGGTGTCTTTTGGTTGCAAATGTTGATATAACCATTACTATTAGCTAGTGTACTTTACCAACTATGATTAATTACATAACAAGTTTTCAAGCCATATAAATTGATTCAACATTTTGACTAGTTTTTTTAAAATTAAGTATATATACGAGGTAGAAAGAAACTTGTTAAAAATTGAGAAAAATATTTTAAATTAGTGTATAAAATGTGTAAGTTGGTAACGAGTAAGGAATAAGTTACTCGATGCGCTGACCGAACAACCCGCAACCCGACCCGCCCGCAACCCGTTTCAACCCGAACCCGATGAACCCTAACTCGATAAACTCGTAACCTGGTGAACCCGCAATCCGTTTGAACCCGAACCCGATTAAACCCAGCACGAACCCGCTTGACACCTAACACACCATGACTAGTGATGGCAATTTCAACCCGCCCCGCGGGTATTACCCGACCTGACCCGCGATGGGGCGGGTATTACCCGACCCGCAGTAGCGTGGGGCGGGGGCATGGGTATCTACTTCCGACCCGCCCTGCCTCGCCCCTCCCCGTTCTAGACTCATTTTATCTCAATTTCTTACAATATCTATACATATTTCTCCTATTTTGACTTTTCTTCAACTAGTTAGAGTCAATCTTTCAACTTGTTAGGCTCAATTATTCATTCTATTATTAATATTTTTCATTCTTAAAGTGTTTTTCCCTACGTTTTATTGTAAAAAGTAAAATTTACTTGTATTTTTTTTAACAACATGTAAGAGTGATGTAAGAGTGAATCGACCCGCCACGCCTCGTATCCGCGCGGGTTTTACCCGCCTCGACCCATAATAGCGTGGGACGAGGCATGAGAATTGACGTACCTTGCCCACCCTATGACTAGCATAGTAGCATTGACATCAGAATCTGAAGGTAGGGATCTCTTCGAAAAAATGGACACTAGAATTACAAACTTGAGCCCAACTTACTGTCCTTCTCTTCTTCTGCCTTCCAGGCTGGCCCTCTCTTCAGGCCCAATATAAACATTTCGCTAAGGAGCTCACTGAAAGGCCCGCAAATTTGATGGTTTCTTTTAGAAATCAAGTGCTTTGTAATTTGGTTCGACCTTCTTTTTTTTTTCTTTCCATTCTGGATTATCTATAAAAAAAATAATGGAAATATTACATCCTTATTATCTCAAACCTGTCCTTAAGAGTTATGATAATTTGATAACTTGATAACGTATTTAAGAGTGATGAAACTCTCATCGTCCCAAAAATCCCTATTATTGATAATGTTCAAAAGGATATTTTGATTACTTTATTACTATAAATTAATTAATATTATCTCTATGATAGTAATTAGGGGGCAGGAGATTGCAAGTTGTTTGATCAAGGAAGCAAAGACCGCCAAAATGCAAGAGTTAATTAACACAGCGAGAGTTGGAGTGCCACAGGGAAATCCCATCAGAAAAAATCAATAATCCAAAACCAGTGTTTGAAGTAGACATACTAGCGTCACAGAAATGTCCTCATCTTGGAATCCATACACAGCATTCCTTGTTCCAATCACACAACAAAAACAGAGCCAAGAATCCACCCACAAATTCCCATTTCTGGTGTTGGGTCGAATCATATATAAAACTCGGCCTACGGAATTAGATAATCAGAAGAAGAAGAAAAGGAAGAAAAGAAAGATTTTGTTTTGGGGGGCCTTCCTCTGTTTTCTTTACTTTCTTTCCTTCTCTCTCTCTGTTTCTCCATTTGTTGAGCTGGTCATCAATGGCGGATTACGGTGGTGGACACCAGCGGGAAGCCAGCAAAGGAGCGAACAACTCTTCGATATGGAGCAGCGACACCAGCGCGGTGGGTGCCATGTCGATGATGGACGAGGACGACAAGAGGGCTCTTCGTCGAAGGAAGAGGAGGACCGCGTCGGTGTACAAAGGAGAGAAGGGAGAGCTGAGCCTCCACAACCTTGGCTTGACTGAAAGGCGCGCTTTGATTGATAGCTTAGTCAAAGTCCCCGAGATTGACAATGAGAAGTTCTTGCACAAGTTGAAGAGCCGCATTGACAAGTACGTATAATGCCCTGCGGAACTGCATTTGATTCAATTATTTGGCATGATAAATGAAATATGTTCCAATTTTGGTTGCAGAGTGGGGATCGAACTTCCGACAATCGAAATCCGGTTCCAGAACCTGACAGTGGAGGCAGAGGCTCTATCTGCGAGCAGAGCTCTGCCTACCATGTACAATTTTGTACTCAACATAGTAGAGGTAAGAAAGCACCTATGTACTGATGAACAACTTGAATTTCAACATAATTAATGTTGTTGTTTTGATTTGAATGCTGGACTGATGATTGTTTGTACGTTTCTCTTTGAGAAGGGGTTTTTGGGTGTCTTTCGTATCAGATCAAACAAGAAGATGAAACTTACAATCCTAAAAGGAGTGAGTGGAGTGATCAAACCATCCAGAATCACACTGTTACTTGGTCCTCCAAGTTCCGGGAAGTCCACCTTCATGTTGGCACTGGCAGGCCAACTTGACCCCGATCTTAAGGTTCGTTTGAAAAAAGCCTAAAATTGGTCACTAAAAGTGATACAACCGGAAGGTCTTTGTATCTATTTTGTTGACATCTAATTATAGGTCTATTAATTACTACCAACATTAATAAAATTCTTGAAATGGGTGCAGAGCTCAGGCAATGTAAGCTACAACGGTTTCCAAATTCATGAGTTCGTGCCACACAGGACGGCAGCTTATATAAGCCAACACGACAATCATATCTCAGAAATGACTGTGAGAGAGACTTTAGCCTTTTCTGCCCGATGCCAGGGCGTGGGGTTCCTAAGTGGTACGTATTTAAGTGGTTCATAAAATAAAAGTCAATGTATATGTTACAATATTAGTCTTGATGATTTAATGAGGTTCGTGGGGTTGTTGTACTATTATAGAGATGCTTGAAGAATTGTTGAAGAGAGAAAAGGCTACCCACATTAAGCCTGATTCTGCTGTTGATGCCTTCATGAAGGTAATTAAACTGCCACTAATAGCTTTGAGCAATATAATTGCTAGTAGAAGTTTGCATTTCTAAGTATATCAAAGTCACCAAATTAACATAATAATAATTATAATGTTGCATGTTATTTATTCGATTAGCCTGCTTACAGAGGTTACTGCAATCATATGCTTACATCATTGGATCATATGTTACGCAATCCACAATCATTAGATGGAAATGGTGAAAATTTGCTTTCTCTCTTTCTTGTATTCTAGGCCGCGGCATTGGAGGGTCAGCAAGCTAGCGTGGTGACAGACTATGTTATAAAGGTAATCAAACAAGATTTAGATAAAAGACATCTTCTTACAAGGGAAAATTTGACTTGATCGTTGAAGTCTCGCTTGCTCTTAATAAAATGTTCATTGATTTATGTAGATTTTGGGATTGGAAGAATGTGCTGACACCGTGGTTGGGAGTATAATGATGAGAGGAATCTCTGGAGGACAAAAGAAACGTCTTACAATTGGTAATCTATAAATCTTGCTCAAAAAGTCTTAGAGAAAACGTCTAAGTATGCATTTAAAAGAAAATTACTGACTAATCAAAGAGTACCAATAATTTTGCAGGTGAGATGCTTGTAGGACCTGCTAGAGCATTATTCATGGATGAGATATCTAATGGACTTGACGCATCAACGACATATCAGATTGTAAACTCCATGAGACAATCAACTCATATCCTAAAAGGAACTACCATCATCTCCCTCCTCCAACCGCCACCTGAGAGTTATGAACTCTTTGACGACGTAATTCTCCTCTCTGATGGACACATTGTTTACCATGGACCTCGAGAGAACGCTCTCGACTTCTTCCAACACATGGGATTCAGGTGTCCAGAAAGAAAAAACGTACCCGATTTCTTGCAGGAAGTAAGAGAAGTTGATTTTTTAAGTCAGTACTAATAAATATCATTTCATTATTTTTTTGGAGTTAATACTTCACAAAAACATGATTTTCACTCTATAGGTGATTTCCAAGAATGACCAGAAACAATACTGGGCACGAAAAGATCAAGTTTACCATTACATTACAGTGAGGGAATTTGCAGAAGCATTCAAGTCATTCCATGTTGGAGAAGCAATGAGGCATGAGCTCTCTAAGCCATTTGATAAGAAAAAAGGCCATGCAGCTGCTTTGGCTTTCAGGAGATATGGAATTCCAGAAATGCAGTTGCTAAAGGCTTGCCTTTCTAGAGAGTTCCTACTCATGAAGAAGAATTCCTTTGTCTTCATTTTTAAGATCGTTCAAGTGAGTAAATACATTCTTATGTAATAATGCTTACCTAATGTTGTTTCCACCCTCTATTAATGAAATGGCGTATTCAACATTTTGTTGATCTGCAGCTTACAGTGATGGCACTAGTTCTCATGACTCTGTTCTTGAAGACTCAAATGCATAGAGAGACTGTAATCGATGGAGTGATTTACATGGGTGCATTGTTCTTCATCGTAAGTATGATAATCTTCAATGGAATGGCTGATCTATCCATGACGGTCGCCAAGCTTCCTGTGTTCTATAAGCAACGAAACTTTGGGTTCTACCCTTCATGGGCATACTCCCTTCCTTCAAGCTTCCTTCAAATACCAACCACTCTTGTGGAAGTTGCAGTATGGGTTTCCATTACTTATTTCATGATCGGGTTTGATCCTGAGCTTTCGAGGTATGCATATTTTTAAGATCCTTGGATCACCATTAAAATTTTATTCACAAACAACTAACATCGGTGCATAAATTTTCAGGTTCCTTAAGCAATACTTCTTGCTTGTACTTGTTGGCCAGATGTCGGGTTCGTTGTTTCGCTTCCTCGCAGCTATTGGACGGAACGTGATCGTCGCTAGCACCCTCAGCTCTTTCATACTTCTAGTGCTTATGACACTAAGTGGCTTTGTCCTATCTAGAGATAAAATCAACAAGTTTTGGATATGGGGTTATTGGATCTCACCTTTCATGTACGCTGACAATGCCATCCTAGCTAATGAGTTCCTTGGAGATAATTGGCAGCAAGTATGTATTTGCTCTTCTAATAAACTGGTTTAGTCATATTTACTCTCTTATGGTCTCAATTTTTATTAACTTTCTTTATTTCAACAGGTCGCTCCCTTAAGCACAGAGCCATTAGGAACCCAAGTTCTAAAATTCCGCGGCTTCTTCACAGATCCTAATTGGTACTGGATAGGAATTGGGGCATTGTTTGGGTTCACCATATTGTTCAACATTCTTTTCGCCCTAGCCCTAACGTTTCTCGATCGTGAGTGGTGTCAATGATTCCCTTTATTAAGCATCATGCTTCAAGAAAACCCCGTATTTTCATGGCATAACATATCACAATGCAATTTTATTTCCAAATTGCAGCATTTGACAAGCCTCAAGCATTGATTTCTGAAGACTCTGAGAATGATGAAGCTATTGAACTGAATAGAGCTCGTTCTTTATCACTTCAAGGAAGTTTTGGTGCAATGCATGACGGTGAGAAATTAGTACTTCCTTATGGATGGTTAATCAACTATGCATCATAGTGGGTCCAACATTCGTTTAATCTCTTAGTTTCTCTCGATGGACAATGCAGAGAGTGACAATGAATCAAGCTCAAGCGATTCATGTCCAGGTTTGGAGATCACTCCTGGTAGCAATAACTGCAAAAAGAAAGGAATGGTTCTTCCTTTTGTACCGTATTCTGTCACATTTGATGAAATAACTTATGCTGTGGATGCTCCTCAGGTGAAAAACAATATGCAAAAGCTTGTTTGTCCTATGTTGATTTCATATATGATCTTAAGTTACAAAAAAAAAAGACGATAACTAAAACTTTTTTTTGTTGCAGCATATGATAGAGAAAGGTGTTGTTAAAGATAAATTGTATCTTCTTAAAGGAATAAGTGGAGCCTTTAGGCCTGGAGTACTAACAGCTTTAATGGGAGTTACTGGTGCTGGAAAAACCACACTAATGGATGTGCTTGCCGGTAGAAAAACTCATGGATATACTCAAGGGAACATCACCATTTCCGGATTTCCCAAAAAGCAAGAGACATTTGCCAGGATATCAGGATATTGTGAGCAGAATGACATCCATTCTCCATTTGTTACTGTTCATGAATCATTGCTCTATTCAGCATGGCTTCGTTTACCGACCGAGGTTAATAGGCAAACTAGAAAGGTGCGTGTCATTTTTATCCAATGTATGTTTAGAGCATTAACTTGATAATATCTGATAAATTTGTGCTTAAAATATTCGTTGCAGATGTTTGTTGAAGAAGTTATGGCACTAGTGGAGCTTGATAGTTTGAGAGACTCGATAGTTGGGTTGCCCGGTGTAAATGGTCTATCTATTGAGCAACGTAAGAGATTAACCATTGCAGTTGAATTAGTGGCAAACCCCTCCATTATTTTCATGGATGAGCCAACATCAGGTTTAGATGCCAGAGCTGCTGCAATCGTTATGAGAACGGTAAGGAACACTGTTGATACTGGACGGACAGTGGTTTGCACCATCCATCAGCCAAGTATTGATATCTTTGAGTCTTTTGACGAGGTAGGTGATTCGTATTATTACCATAAAAAAGTTCACTCTCCCATGTGGCAACCCTTAACATGGTATTGTTAATTTCTTGTTGTTGAACCAATAGCTTTTCCTCCTGAAGCGTGGTGGGCAAGAAATCTATGTCGGGCCATTAGGGAAAGATTCTTGCCATTTGATCAATTATTTTGAGGTAATTGAGAAAAAGGTTATCTTCTTTAAGATCTAACCTATTCTTTTCAAAGTATATTTGAACTTCTCAATATTGTTGTTGATTGAACAGAAAATTGAGGGAGTTACTAAGATCAAAGATGGTTACAACCCTGCAACTTGGATGATGGAAGTATCCACACCTGGACAAGAGGTTACTCTAGGAGTTGATTTTGCTGCTCTATACAAGAGATCAGACCTCTACAAGTATGCATTATTCATACTTCACACCATTAAATTAGTTAAGGTTCCTTAATAGAAAAATTAATGAATTATATGTTGCTTTGTGTATTTTAGGAGAAACAAGGCCATGATCAAGGATTTAAGCAAACCCACAATTGGATCTAAGGACCTGCACTTTGCAACCCAATACTCTAGATCACTATTCACTCAGTGTCTAGCTTGCCTATGGAAGTTCCATTGGTCATATTTGCGAAACCAACCGTACACCGGAGTTCGCTTTCTCTTCACAACAATCATAGCTTTGCTTTTTGGAGGCATGTTTTGGGATCTTGGTGGCAAAATGTGAGTACTGAACAAACCATGCTTGTTCTTTTTTTCACTTACAAATGGGTTTCAAAATCTCATCACTAAGAAATGTCTTAAAAATCAATATACAGGAAGAATGAACAAGATCTCTTCAATGCAATTGGTTCAATGTTCACTGCCGTTTTCTCAATTGGGATCCAAAATGCATCAGCAGTGCAACCTGTTGTGGATATTGAAAGAACAGTTTTCTATAGAGAAAGAGCTGCTGGAATGTATGCGGCTTTCCCTTATGCTGTTGCGCATGTAAGGATATTCAAACCTAGATTACCTTAGAGCCGTTTATGTTAAGTACAATTATTCATTTTTGTGGGTTTCTTGCTTCGCAGGTTTTGATTGAACTTCCATACATTCTTTTCCAATGCATTGTCTACAGCTGCATGGTCTACACAATGATAGGTTTTGAGTTTACAGTGATTAAATGCTTCTGGTTCTTTTTCTTTATGTACTTCACACTACTCTACTTCACATTTTACGGCATGATGGCTGTCTCGTTCACTCCAAACCAACATATTGGCTATATTGTCTCTACTGCGTTCTATGGGCTCTGGAACATCTTTGCTGGATTCATCATCCCACGTCCTGTAAGTAACTCTCATATAAGTTTTATACTTGGCCATCTACCAACAAATCGAATTATTAATTAGAATGATCTAGTTGATGAGAGGATATCAGATAAATGTCTCGCAACACATCAAATAATATAAATTTGTTTTACAGAGGGCACCCATTTGGTGGAGATGGTACTACTACGCATGCCCGGTTTCATGGACATTGTATGGATTTGTGGCATCACAATATGGAGATGTGCAGGACATTCTTCTTAGTGGATTGACAGTTGAGGCATTTGTGAAGCTCTACTTTGGGTTTGAACATGACATGGTACCGATTGTTGGTGTGGTGGTTGTCGGGTTTGGCGTTATGTTCATACTTATTTTTGCCACTTGTATTATGATGCTCAATTTTCAGAAGAGGTGATGGGGGAGGCAGATGCTCATTTTCTCTTTTTCATGTTTTATTATTTCCCATTTATTTTTTGGTAGTGAAGTTCGGTGTGAGAATTTCACTAATGTATGATCAAAATCTTGATTATATTATTGATGATTCATTTATCGCAATTTCTTTGTAAGTTTTGTTTGTGTGATGGGGCAAAAAAGGAACACTCAAACGAGTAATTAAAAGGCAAGGAAAATGAACATCTTGTTTATCATTCAAAGACATTTCTATTTTTCATTCTCCATTTCATTCATTAATTTGCATGTGTTCTCTTATTATTATTAGTATATATAAAGGCCAAGTTTGCTTAGGGAGTCTAGTGAGATGCGACAAAGTTTACCATATGTCCTATCACTACAACAAATTTGGCCTATTATAACAAGACAGTTTTGTCATATTAGATACTCATTTTTTCATATTAGGTATGATATGACAAAAGGTGTTGTCACAAAGGTTTTTCATTTTATCGCTGTCAGGATAGGTCAAATGTGAAAAAAATTTAAAACAAGGTTGTCATATTTGCTTTCAGTATAGTTGAGGTTTTAGGTAGTCTATTGTGACAAACAGAGATGTTATGACGACATATTTTTCCAGCTCAAACTAATGATCTAGTTGGCTGGGTGAACCTAATGACAATAATCTTCAGAGCTGGAAGCTTATACATAGCTAAACAAAAACAACATAAACCAGAAATCTCAGTAACAATGCAAAATGAAACCACCTTCTGGGCTGAGAAACAAATACACCAGAACGAAAACAACATAACAGTTCCAGATAACAAAACCTGATAATCAATGTCCATCTTCCCCGTCTTAGGCTGTTTGCACTCTCGTTGCTTCTGTTTCAACTTTCTAACATTCTCTTTCTTGGTATATGCCTGCATAGAGTGAAAAAATTAAAGCAGTAAATTGGAAGAAGGAAGTTTAAATTCCATCAAAGCAAAAAAAAATCCCTTATTTGTTCAGTTTCAAAGCCTAGAAGGCCCTAAGATCTGAAATTTCAATCCCAATTTCACAATCGATGCATGAAATTGATGCTAACCAACCCAAACTTCAGAAATAGGATGAAAATGCAACGGGATTGTTGAACTGCTCACTAGTGCCGATGACAATTTGGCGGCGAAGTGAAAAAGAAGTGAAGCGGATGTGCGGTTCCCCTTCGAGCCCTAAAGCTCCACCGTAAATTTTCTCATTCGATTCACTAAAATCCATCTTCGAAAGTTGTTGTAGCTTTCCAATCTATGAAGGGATTAAACCATGGTTACCATCGAGAAGCAACTCCTGAACACCACCCACCCTCCTCCACCTCCTCCTCTGCTGGCTGCTCGTTTTCAAGGCCGCCCTCGACTCCACCGGCGCCGCCATCCCCATCTCGATCCCCAACTCGATCAATGTCCTGCTCTTGTCTCTATACAACATAGTCAACTACGCCATGCTTCAGCGCAATGCTCCTTCACATCTGCTATCCCGTGCTTGATGGCGAAGTCCGTATCAGAGGCGAAAAACAAGAGGCAGAAAAATGAAACGCCTGCCAGTGTGCTGGAGGTGGCACTGTAGTACCAGAGGTGATCCATGGTGGATTGAGCCATTTTTTTGTTTTGTTTTTCAAGGGCTATGATTTTGCTTTTCGATCTGTCGCGATTTAGAGTAGAGGTAGATGGAACCGACATATATTCCATTAGGGTTTCAAGGGTTTAAGCAACGACAACCATTGGATGAATTCTAATTATACGGCTCACAGTCCGTAGGATGGACATTGGGTGCCAACTGCTTTTATTTTTTGGGTTAAATTAAATCAATTTATATTGTCCTTCGCTCAGTGGAAGAAGAAGCAGGGAAGGCTGGAAAAAGCCCCAAGTTTAGTTGAAAGCCTTCGATTGATGGAGGAATCGATGCAAGAGGGAGGGGAAGGAACAAGAGTAAGGTTTTTTTATTGTTGTTATTTTTTTAATAAAAAAATATGCCAAAATTGATATGAATCTATGTGCCACCATTAATTTATTGATTTTTAGCCATGTCAACATGGATTGGCCACGTCATAGTCAACTAGCAGTTGACCGAACGGAAAGTTAACGATTTCGTTATTAAATTGTTTTCGAAAAGATTTGGCTATTATTTTGTTTAAAACAAAAGGTTTGGCTATTATATTGCATTTACTCTGTTTTTATAGGTAGAAGAGGCGGGTATGTTTTTTTTTTTATGAATCAGATATCTTTCATTTCATCAAAAGTGGCACTAGCAACATCCTTGCTAGTTAGGAAATAAAAACCCATAGACCTTCACCTGTATATATGCACGTTTCCTTAAGGGGTCTCGTGAAATGCTAATATATATAAAGGCCAAGTTCGCTTAAGGGGTCTGATGAGATGCGACAAAGTTTACCATATTGTCCTATGCACATTTGCTTAAGGGGTCTGCTGGAATGCGACAAGTAATGAATTAGGGGTTTAGTGAAATGTGACATGGTGAATTTTAAGGTTTCTACACAGGTTTTTTCTGTTATCCATTCGATTTTATGTTTAACCGATAGTCCACTTACCCAGGATTTGCTTGATGCCTAACCAAGTATTGATCTCCCTTCTTCCCTTTTGATAAACCCTTATTGATGGATCGATTCATAGTCAGTGAGTAGTGATGTCAATGGGGCGGGTCGAGGCGAGTCGACCAATTCTTATAGGTTATTTGAAAAAAGAACTTCGATAGTTAACTCTTTTACGAGAATACCTAGAGAAAACACTTCATAAATTAATGATAAATATACTAGAAGGAATACGTGAGTTTAAATAGTTGAAAGATGGAGCCCTAAAATTACATGGGATGAAAATATGGTTTTAGAAAGGTCAAAATAGGAGAAACACATGTAACTATTTATGCAAATTATGATAGAATAGGTCAAGAATGAGCGGGGTAGGTCATAAACAATACCCATGCCCTATCCCCGCTACATCAAGTCAAGTAATACCTGCCTGAAATAGGTTGAGACATGTTGGGTAGAGCGGGTCAGATAAAAAATTGTCATCACGAACGACATGTAGGACTTTGTACACTCTTCTTTTCTCCCTTGCATTCCTCTCTTCTTCATCCTTCCCTTCCTAATAGATTGTTGGTCGACGTTGATGCAAAGATCCTTTGTTGCATCCATCTCTTTCGTCAGGGCCGCTCGCATTCACTCGGAGTTGTCATCGATCTAAGTTATAGTGGATAGAACACTTTTCGGTCAGTTTTATCCCTAAGATTAAAACCAAAAGCTTTATGATTTTGAGTTCTAAGTTCCTGAGTACGATTATGTGTGACAAATTTAGTTATACTCCACAACACCCTAAAATTATTACTACTTAAATCGATAAGTTTCTCAGGGTTGAGTGTTTTATTATTTGTGACTTATTGAGTATTTAATCATAGGATTGAACTAATTTAAAATTTATATTATAAGGTAATTATGATAAAATGGGTCAAGAATGGATAGGGCAGGTCGCAAGGAAGTTTGGTACAATTTTAACTAAAACCTTATCACATTCTATTTAGAGGCAAACATAAGTGAGGGGGAGTGTGGCAAGCGACACTCCTCTGCCGAGATTTTGGTGAACAACCATGTTTTTTCATTAAAATTTTAAAACTAGTATTTCAGACACAACCAAAAAAGATTTAGTTGACATATTTGTTGTAATTGCAAGTTGTAAGATGATTTTTTTCTTCTATTAAGTTAATCAAGAATGATCTTCGACATTGGTCAATCTATCACTGATTGTTTGGTTGCATATATTGAGAGACATTGGAGTTGCAAAATAACATGAATGCATTTCACAAATATTTTATAATATAAAAATTTGATGTGACTCCCTATGAAAAATGATGAAATGGTATACTCTATAAATGAGACTTTATTTATTATTTATTTTTATCGACTAATACACCTCTTTTAAAATTATGGTTAGGCCATTAATTCTATTGATTTGTGACTTCTGTGTTAAGAATATTTAGGAAAATGTATATAAATGAATAATGATGATATAACATAGTTAATAATTCAATAAATATTTAGCTCCAACCCTTGTTAGATTTGAAAGTCCAATGTTGGGGGCGAAGCCTCGTTGGTGTCGAATTTGATTGCAGGTGATGCCTAGATTTAGTAGGACCCGCTGTCACAAAGTGGCACGTGGGACTGAGGTTCCTGAGTAATTAAAAAAATCTTTCCTTTCTCCTATTTTTAATGATTTTATTCTTGCTTCCAAAAAACCAATACTGGAATTAAAAAAAATGATACAATATATACCTAACGGGAACAGAAACGGTATCAGGAGTCTGTTTCCTGGTTGGAAACCCACTTTGCCATATTTAATGCCACCTTCCCGACATGCTCCTCTGCACATTCAAAATAAGATCGAGAGGTCGACAACATTGGAGGTGGAGAACAACTTTTCCCCAAGGCGGCATCTGAAATACGGTATGTTGATGGAGGAGAGGGATGTACCACCTGCGTGGATCCCTCGCCTAGCCTCCTCTTCGACTGCTTTTCATGTGTCTTTACCCCTGCCACGATTTCATTCTGTAACGAAACCTGAGCATAGCTTTCGGTCGGCTGTACCCTTACAGGGGAGATGGATTTCTAATCCCCTAAGTGTTTTGCAGGGTTAGACCATGGCAAAAGTAACGAACGACCAAGTGGTTCAGTTCTCGCTTGAGGAGGTTCAGCCTGCGAAATATCGCAGCTCTCGGTCCTTGCTGGGGAGGCTCTTCTCGGATGAGCACTTCACGCCAACTGAGATACGAGATGCCCTAAATGGACCGTCCGTGGTAAGGGAAGGGCCACATCCAAGTTTATGAAACTAGGCATGGCCTGCATGAGTACATCCTACCCAATGAGGCGGCAAGAGATTGGGTCCTGTCACGAACGTCGTGGGTAGTTAAGGATAGAGTCCTTCCCCTGTGATAGTGGACTCCAAGCATCAATAAAAAAATATTTGATGATCTTGCTATAGTCCT